ACAGGCACAGGGGGGGTGATGTATCGGCCCCGAAATCGCCGATGGATCGCCGATGGATCGCCGACATGGGCCTGATAGCCCCACCCCTCCCAGGAAGGTGTGGTCTCGCTATCGGGGGCCTATCGACGATCTATCGGCGATGCATCGCCGATTCCAGGTCGACGTTTCCCCCTGTATGCCAGTCCCCCCCCCATCATTGCCCCGCACTCCTCCCGAGTGCAGCCGAGCTGCACTCGTCCTCTCGGATAGCATTCGGTTTCGGCTCGGGTGCTAGACCTTGGTTGTTTCGTTTCGTTCGCTCTCTCTCTCTCTCTCTCCCTCCCTCTCTCTCTCTCTGACCAGCCTCCCCCTCCGCCACGCGCGCGGCCGCGGCGAGGTACTGCCTGAAGGCGCTGAAGTGAGGCTGACGCCCTCGTCTCGTTCCACGTGTGTTCGCGGCCAGCTTGGCATCGCTCGGACGTGTGCATTTTTCTCGGCGAGAACCATCGAGGACCATCCTGGACCATCGAGCAAAAACAAAACACGCACGAAGCCGAAAAATACACGGGAAATGGACGTCCGAGCGACGGCAAGCCAGGGATTGCACTCGGGCGGGGGGCGTAGGACAGGGATGTGTTCTTTCCAGAGCGCTCTGGGATGCTCCGGAGCGGCCGCGGCGCCCAATGATTTCTCCAGAACCGCTAGATTTATGTCGGGTCTGTCCCTCTACTGGGGGGATATTCAACAATAGTGGGGACGTTTTTTTTTATTATGTTTGAATGTTTTAGGGTATTTGATGGCTATTTTTATTTTCTCGTCCAAAATCGGCCTGTAGGGGGACGGGCCCGACTTAAGGCTAGATCTCAGAGACCCCCGATTTATCCATGCCCGTTTTTGTCCCTGTCCTGGCATCGTCTTAGGTGCCGCCCTTCGGTTTTTTCCTCCCCCCGCCCGCCTGTCAGACTGGGCCCCCGGCTGGGCTCCTAGAGGCCTCCTGGGGGCTTTCCTGGGGACCGGAGGGCCGCAGGGATGCATTGGGAGACGCTTGCCCCTCTTTCTCATTGTTCCTCCTCCGTTCCGCCTCAGGTAGGGTAGGTTCGCATCGTGTTGAAGCGGCGGCGACCCCAGCGTGGACGTTCAAGGTTGAACGCCGCCAGAGGCCGCGAATCGGCCGATCTTGAACGACCTGGCGATCGGAAAGCGCCGATCGTCCAAGGTTGAACGATCCACGCGGTGTCAGAAGCCAACGCCGACGTCGTCAGAAACCAAATTGCCGCAGGGCAAGGGGGGGGCACTGGCACTTGCCGCAGGCAGCTGGTGTCGGCCCCACCGCCGGGCGATTTCCTCGATGAGCTGGTGCCCCCGGCGCGGGGGGGCACCCTGGGAGAACCAGCTGCGCGAGCGGATTCGCTGACCCCCCGTCCATGCCATCCCCCCCTGTCGTCCCGGCCCGAGCCGTTCCCACGTCTCCCTACGGCACCACCTCTGCGTAAGAGTCGCGCAGCTGGGGCGAGCCCAAAAAGTTTGTCCGGCAGGCGCGGTTCCTCGAGATCCCCCCGCGCTCGCCTTCGCTTGCGGATGCTTCCTCTCGTCCTCCCCCTCCTCGCTTCCTCCCCCCGGCCCCTCTCCCCAGCCCCCTCCCCACTCCTCTTCATCACCACCCCCTCTGCTTGTTCCCCTCCCCTCTCCACCTCTCCCTCATTTTCTTTTCTCGTGCTCCCATGTCTCCCCCTCTCCCGCAGGAGGAGGGACGAGGATCAGGAGGAGAAGGATCAGGACGAGGATCAGGAGGAGGAGGGCCGGGCCGGCGCAGTCTAAAGGCCCTGGATGACGCACCCCCGCCGCCCAGTTCATGGCCCGCGCGTCCACCCATGGGGCGCCTTCGCGAGCCAGCGCTGGGATGGCTGCCGCAGATGGCGGCACGCCCCGCGTCGTCTTCAACCGCATCGAGGCCGGCGGGGCGAGAGGGGACGGGAGTCGGAGCACGAGCCATTCTCGGAGGTTTTCTGGACGTCTTCGGAGGTCTTCAGAGTTTTCGGAGGTGATCTCCATTAGGTGTGCCTCGTCGCGAGCGTCCCAGGGATGACAGAATTGTCCAGAATGGCCATCAGAGTCCACAGAAGAACAAGCAACAACGGCCGACGGTTATGGATGAGGCGGGAGGCCACAGTAGGTTCACTGCCAAGCAACAACGGCCGACCTGGCACCACGAGCCAGTGGGGCAGGAGGCCACAGGAGGCCAAACCACAAGGTCTGACCTGGCACCAAAGGCCAAAGCGGGGAGACCACAGGAGGCCACACAATAACGCCTTACTATGGAGCACAGTGCCGCGGCTAGACAGTGCATCGCTGATCGGTCAGCATCTTGTGCTCTTAGGGCGACATGCCCGCGCGGCATCGAAGCCGTTGTGACACTGGGCAGCTGGGCTTTTGGGCCATGGTCCACTGAGCTGAAACCCTCCCGAGATCGTGCGGTGTGGACGTGCACTAATAAACCTCAGCGCAGGTTTTTCATTTGACATCCAGAGTGGGGCATTAGGCCAACGCGCAAACATTAAGCACGCATACATTGCAATTTGCAGCGTCTGTACTCGGAACTTTTGCGTCGAAGTCCCAACATGAGGACATGTTGTCAGTATCTCGTTGAATTCCGATGGTTTTCCCGGGGGAGCACTAAACCATGCAGAAGCACTTCACAAAGGAGAACATAGGAGAGGAGAGTGAGGAGGAGGGAGGAACAGGGAGGCGGAATACATAAGATGGCTTTAGAACAGTATGGATCTATACATGTATACATACACACACACGTTTGGATAATGATTGGAAGGAGGAGGAGAAGGAAGAGAGATGAGGAGAAAGGGAGGAGGAGGTTGAATGATTGAGGTCATGGACGTGTTGTATCATTGGTGGGCCTCCGAGGATCTCCAGAGACAACTGGGGACCTTCTGGAAAAATCTGAGAGGGAGGGGCGCGAGGAGGAGGGCGAAGAGGAGGAAAAGGAGGAGCAGCAGCGGCAGTTGCAGTACACGGGAGACCGACAAAAATGTGAGACATTTGCAAGGTATTTCAATGCTTGGAGTGTTCGGCGATGCTCTGAACCAACATCGTATTGAACTTGTTGTCGGAGGGCTTCAAGGCGTCAGAAACGGGCCCCAACGGACTCCCAATATTCAAAGCGACCAACGAAATACCCCCCCCCCCGCATAGTCCAAGATGGCCCAGTGAACGCCAAAGGCAACAGCCGAGATAACTGACCATCGAGCCTCGAAGGGGTGCCTGAAGAACGGCTGCCTTGAAGTCGCTCTTGAAGCTCGGAGGACCTCACGACGGCCCAAAACACCGCCGAACGTGTCCTAGGGAGGCCCACTCGATTGAAACAATCAGCACGCGACACGCCGCACATACCTCACACCCGTGATTCTCAACACGCAGCGCAGAGCACACGTTACGCACCAGACATCGCGCAACATGTCTCAGACAGCGCACCCACGATATACATCACAGACACACGCGCACATAATAGGATATCATGCAAGCCACATCGCACAACAGACAGTCATTTTTCGAGTACAATCATTACTACAGTACCGGTACCCCAGCCAGTTTTCGAGTACTATCATTACTACAGTACCAGAATACCTACACGACTAGAGCCTTTCAATACTAAAGTCCTAGAGTACCTACACTACTACCCCAGCCAGAAGGGGGTTGGAAGAGGAAGTTTCCTAGACCACCTACGCCCATAGGGCTGGTGGGATTAATGTTGTTGCGACGAGGGTACCCCCAGGATGCCCAACACTTCATCTCAGCGTCAAGCACATCCCCCCTCCATTCCTCACCCATTCTATTTCCTCCTCCCGCAGGTCCCCCGCGTTGTCCTGACTGCCGACGATGCCGACCCCGGGCTCTACGTGCCCAGCCCACGGGCATCGCTCGAGGATTGCGAGGCGCTGGCCGCAGGTAGGAGGAGGACCGCTGCTGCTGGGGCAGGCTGAGAGCGAAGGGGGGATCTTTGCGACCCTTTGCGAACCCCACCTCTGCAGGTCCAGTCGACGCTGAGGTCTCGGACACCCCCGCTAGGGTTCACCTGGTTGCAGACATCTTGCAAGTCCTGAGCCCAAGCCGAGTTCACATGTGGTCACCTCTATATCATCTATATCATAAGTTGGAGAGCGCGACGACGACGACGACGACGACGACGACGAGCCAGCGGTGGCGCCCACGGGGCGCGGGCCTTGCAGGATGCTGCTGCGCGCGCCGCCCGGGGTGGGGCCCGGCTCGGTGCTCCGGCTGCCACCTCCGGCCACGTCGCAGGCGGCCGCCGCCCGCTTGCTGCTGCCGCCCGCCGCTGCCTGCCGCCGCCTGCCGCCCGCCTGCCGCCCGCCTGCCGCCCGCCTGCCGCCCGCCTGCCGCCCGCCTGCCGCTGCCTGTGAAAGCCAACCCGCCACGAAGCAACGCCCGACGCCCGTGCCCCGTCACGGGGCGCCCCCCCCCGTGGGACGCCCCGTGTTCATTGTGTCTGCTCACGGGTTCTCGAAGGTTCTTTTCGGCTCTCCTCGGCTCTCCTCGGCCTTCCGGCTGAACACAAGGGGTCCTCAAGGACAAGGGTCCCCGATAGTTTGTCCCAACCATCCTGTGGTGTTGGGACTTCGTTTTGAAGAGACAGCGCCCCGCGTTCCTCATGCCGCTGCTCCCTCCCCCCGAATCCTCCCACTCCTGCTTGTGCCCTCCGCACCAAGTGCAGCATTCCGTGGCCCCATAGGGAGCTCCACCGAGGGCCCCAATGGCAGCGCCCGCATGCAATTCCACCGTGAATGTCGGTGCACCCCATCACACGCTTCGCGGCCCTTGGGGGGCCCCACCGAAGCCCCAGTGGCAGCGCCCGCATGCAGTTCCACCCTCTATTTCGGCACACCCCTCATAAGTTTCGTGGCCCGATGGGTAGTTCCACCGAAGGCCCCCGAGGCAGCGCCCGCATGCAGTTCCACGCCCATGTCGGCGCAGCCCTCTCACGCTTCGTGGCCCCATAGTGAGCTCGACCGGAGGCCCCAATGGCAGCGCCAGCATGCGGTCCCACCGTCCATGTCGGTGCACCCTTCACAACTTTCGTGGCCACAGAAGGAGCTCCACCCAAGGCCCCAGGGCAGCGCCCGCATGCAGGTCTACCCCCAGTTTGGCACAACCCTTTAACGCATTTCGTGGGACCATCGGGAGCTCTACCTAAGGCCCCAAGCGCCCGCATGCGGTTCCACCCGCCATTTCGGTGCACCCCTCACACGGTTGTGGCCCCATAGGGAGTTCCACCGAACGCCACATTGGCAGCGCCCGCATGTGTTTCCACCCGTTTCGGTGCACCTGGCAGATCTCGCGACATTTGTGATGGAATGTCTATGGCAACAAGCGGTGTTTCATTAGTGCGGTGAGGGCATGTCGAATGGTATCGGCAACGAGCTCCTTCGTGCATATTGAGCCGTTTGGGGCAAGCCCCCAAGGGGGCACAATGGGCCGAGACGATGTCGGCGGTGGCGACGGGAGGTACATGGCCGAGGACGAGGTTCCAGATTGACGATCCAGAGTTCAAGCTGTGCCCCAGGTGCTTGTTGAAAGGCGAGCGCCACCCAGAGATACCGCTCCACAGAAGTTGGCTTTGTCCCCAAAACACAGGGCACCAAGCTTATCGCGACTCAGACCAGTACGTGCCCCAAGCAGTGAGTCATCACGAACAGTACGAGTGTTTATTGTTCCGAGGGCTGCTACCCAGTTCGTGGACGGAGATGTTTCGCCGTCCAAAGCTGAGACATGGTGTTTCGAGCCAGAGCAGCCCGACGGCAATCTGGGCACCGATGATCATCCACTATATGTATGTGGAGATGCAAGTGGAGGCGCAGATACTCACTCACCCAACTTGAGGAGAGTCGGCCTTGGTTTCGAGATCGTGGAGCAGTGTCATCCAGTTCGGCTGGGCCTCGAGGCTCCTGGACCGTTACACGGGAGACGCCAAACCGTGTACCGCGGCGAATTGGCTGTTCCAGAATAAGTCTTCAGACGCACTCGAGGAGCAGTCACTTATCTCGCCGACAACGGGGGGGGGAGAAAGGTTGGATATCCAGAATGCATCTCCATCCTCGAGGGGCCAACTCGGACGTTGACTTGCGGCAAGCAATTGGTCAGCACACGCGCGAGGCCGAGGGCCGTCACGGCAGAGTCTCTATTATTTAAATGAATTCGCACTTGTCGGAATTCGAAGCCGCGGACGCGGCGCGGCAATCGTCGAGCTGATCAGTTGGCGGGCCGAGCAGCACATGGGCACATGTTGCCAGCAGTCGTTCGGACTCGAGTTGCACAGCAGGAAAAAAAGCAGCGGAGTTGGCGCGGCGCCGGCTTCTCAGAGCCACGATGGACGCCATGATTGTCGACCCCAGACCGAAGAGAGAGTCTGGCAAACTTCGCTTGATCCCGCCTGCCCCGACAACTGCTGCTCGCTTCTGCACCGCGCATATTCTCGATGGCAGTGGCCGCCATTGCACGAGATGTCACGTGCCCGCGACCAGAAACGTCTCGCTGTTTGGTTGAAGACGCCATGCGTTGCCCTGCAGTCTGTAGACGGCGTTGCAGCACGAATACCTCAAGGGCGTGAAGTCCATCGGGCGTGTGGGGGGGTGGCTGCGCCCCCAGCATAACCGAAGTTTTCACGTATATTCGAAGCTCTGGTTTTGCGGAGCGCGCGGGCTCTACCCCTCTGATCAAATCCGAGGGCTTGCATCCGAGTGCACTGATAGAAGCGACGAGCCCCGACAATAATATTGAAACAGGATTGAGGTTGGGCTCTGGTCGAAGATTTTGTCGTTGCCGGAGCAACGAGCCAGAGACCGCATCCCTCCTTGATTAGTATCTTTTCCGCCTCACGAATTGACAAGCCCCATCCCCGTTCCCCAGTCACGCGCCTTGTGGCCCCTCAGGAAGCTCCGCCGAGGGCCCCAGCGGCAGCGCCAGCACGCGGCCCCACCCTCCATTTTTGCGAATCCCTCACAAGCTTCGCGGCCCCATAGGGAAGCTCCACCAAAGGAGGCCCCCGAGGCAGCGCCTGCGTGTAATTCAACCCCCAATTCGATGCACTTCTCACACGCCCCATGGTCTCATCGGGGAACTCGCCGAAGGCTCCAGCGGCAGCGCCCGCACGCGGTTCCACCTTCCATTTCCGCGATGCCCTCGCACGCGTCGCGGCCCCATAGGGAGCTCCACCAACGGCCCCAGTGGCGGCGCCCGCGTGGCAGCCCCGCCACGCGACGGCGCACCGTTCGCGCGTTTCGCGGCCCCGCAAGAAGATCCACCGTCGGCGATCTTCACAAAGACGGCACCCACAAGCATATGCTCGGGCCTTTTGCCATGCTAATTTACATCTCTTGGCCCCCCCAGGGCGCCCCCCGAGCCCCCAGAAACGTGACTGGCAAAGGCTACGATGAAAAGCCTATCCCTTGGAAAGCCCCGGTGCACTTCGCATTTGTGTTCAAGTTTATCTAGCGTTGTGCGTTGTTGCTGTTGCTGATCCCCCCCCCCCCTGCTAGCCGCCTTCTTCTAAACCCAAAGGATTTCGGCAGCGGCGGCGACCTCCCGCGTCGACCCTCACTCAGCGGGCCGCACTTCTCACTTGCCACGTTCGGCTGCGGAGGCATGTGGCGAGCCTGTTCGAGGGGCCTGCGGGCTCCTCTGGTGTGCAGCCTGTTTAGCCGCTCTTTAGAGTCCACTGGTTTTGCGCGCGGCAGGTCGCGCCCGCGAGATGTGTCATGAGCTCGTTTGTGACATGCCGATGACGCAGGGGGCGCGCGCGCGAGAGAGAATGGGGGGAGGAACTGCCTCAAGAAGGGCGCGGTAGGGAGGTCTGCTGCAATGCATGCTAGACGGATGCAAGCATCATTTAGTAGCAGCGGCTTTGGCATACGCATTATGGTATGCTGCTGGTTTTAACAGCGGCATTAAATGGATCTTCGACAAGTTTGCAGACGATGTGGAGAAGCTCGAATCAATTCTAGTTCTAGACCCCTTGACACATTCGCAATACGTGCGTGATCCCCGCCAATATATCTGGATAGCAACAAACCAATGCACAAATAGTGCCCGGCAATCTCAGGCCCGAAACACCCGCATTATGGGTATCGGTACCAACTCAGATGTTAGGCTCTGTGAAGACAACGTCCTGGTGGACCCCGAGGAGAAGCACATGGGGCCCAGCCGCATGAAACTAAATCGACCCCCGGGGGGCGCTCCGCGAACGCGCTGTTAGACGTCAGGCCCATGGCTCCCGGTATCTAATTGATGCAGTATGGACCGACATGTTTTGATTATGCACACTGTCGCTGTACCAGCCATTATTGGATCAAGTATCCGACATCGCCGAGTAGCGCGGAAAGCAGGACGATGCTTGCTGGGAACCCCGAAAACCATGTCTCAGGATCATGGGCCCCAGCGACGTTTTCAAACACCGGGAGATACCGCTTGGGCGACAAGAAGATTGCCACTGCGCTCCACATAGGCACTGACAGGGAATCGTCGCATCGACGGTCCGAACGCAACGCGGGCCCAATCCTTTTTTCTCGACGAGTGCAACGAGCAGCATAACGCGCACAGACAAGTCTTATGATCAATGGGCCTGCGCCACTTCGCCGCCCCCGAGCGCCCCCCACACGCAGCCAGGAAACGACTCCAACAAGAATGAGTTCGATTGGCGCGCGAAAGACCAACACCGATTGGACGCAGCAGCGCGCGCTTCAACATTTGGAAACGGAAGGAGTACCCATGACGCGCGCGCGAGATGCTTGCAAACAAGTCCGACGCATGTCTTGCCATTTTCGGCGGCGGCCACGACGACTACGAGGCAATGGAATACGCGGGGCTCTGGTTGCCGGACACCGCGCCGAAGTACATGCGCTTGTTCAGCTCCTGCTGGGACTTCCCACTGGAGCGTAAAACCACAAGAGCAATATCATCGCAGCATATCGGCCGACATATGACGAACGCTGCACGCGCTGGGCCCAACGAGCTGCCGACGGCAAAATGGAAATTGCATTCATCCACAAGTCTGAATGAGATGCTGAGCACTTTTCTGATTGAAGAGGTTGCCATCAAGCTCAGGACCTCCGGCATGGAGATCACCCCGAGCGGCGCGACGCACGCGATGATTTGAAAGTCGCGAAAAGCCTTGGGCAGACGGCGCGGACCATCGTGGAACGACCCCGCTGGGCCGGAATTGGCGATCTTCGACTGGAGGCGCATTTGCCGCGCCAACAGAGCGTCGAGTTCGGCGTCGGCAACGGCTG